GATATTTCCCACATGCCATTTGCATCTATGTAGGGCTGTGCAATTCATTTTTACCTGTGGAATATGTTAATGGTGCTATTATTGGCCCAAGCTAATCCTGGTCAGCCAGCTTGAAGTGGCTTGAAGTAAAAGATTATAAACCCTAGGGTGACACAAAATGGAAATACCTGAGTTTTCAGTCACACCATGTGGAAAGCTGCCTGAATGACACTAGTTATTTGCATGAGCAAAAATAAATTTTACTTAATCTGTTGAAATTTTGATGTCCCTATTATAGCACTCATGGTATTTTTAACAATATTTAATTGGGCTCTCAAATAATGAGCTGAGAATAACAATCACATAGCAGTCTTTCCTTATAAACAGCATTTGCAAGTTTTAAACAAAAAGTACAATGCCCAGTTAGATTAATAGTCCTGGATAGCATCTCCATGGAGTATTACCAGCACTTAGGGGATTCCTGAAGCAGCTGCAGAGGCTACAATCCAGATTTCTCCAATAAGCCTGAAAGATGCCCATACAACTTTGGGAAGACGTCTCAGGACCCAATTCCCTCTTTTCAGATTCCTCAGTGCATCTCAGTCATCCTCCTCCCCACTTACAGCCAGTAGAATACTTCTCACTCTTCATACTGACTGATTCATTTGCTAGGGAAGTTACAGTCATTCCAAACTCTCACTACTTAGCCTGCAGGGCTTAGAGACACAGCACTGGTAGCCTTTAGAAGTTCTTTTGTCTCCATCTCAAAGTTCTCATCAGCCCTCTACTTGCAAACTCCCAGATGCCTATTCCCAACTACACTCATGTGGTACACACACAAAAAGAAAATGCTTTGGAACTCCATTAAAAGTGAGGTTTATTTAAATATTTTAAGGCGTGGTACACCTAGTGAAGTGATAAAGCTTCTTTCTGCAGTGGTAACACATCAATAAGGCAATAATCTGAAATCAGAATTCTTGCTCTAATACTTCACCAGTAAAGAGGTAAAACAACAAAGAAGTGTGAGGGAAAATATCTAAGTACTGAAGAGAAAGTACTGGCATAAGGGTTCCCATGTTAGGGAAAAACAAAAATAAAGGCAAGCTGTAGCTGACCTCTTATAACCCCTGATAGAGCAAACAGGTTAAGAACTTACCCTCTAAGTCATTGCTTTTCTATTGCCTCAGTGGAATCTGTTTTGGTTGTTCACTGGCAAAGTGCCTTCTGAGCAGCTCTTTTTGAGATAAACTGAAAGAAGAGTAGGATTTCCACAAGTCAGTAGGTGAAATGTTCCGTCAGCTGACCCAAATGTATGGCATCAAGCCAAACGAGCTGGTATGCCTAAAGAGAGGCTCAGCAAATGCACTGGGCTTTCAAATAGTAAGGTGTATTATTTTAACTTACTTCTTCAGAGCTATTAATTGAACATGTATCTTGAGATTGTTTTAAAAGTCAGACCTGTTAGTGTTTTCTAGTGTTATTTTAATCACTGGCCATCATCATTTAACCCCCTTACTATGAAAACCTGGGACAACACAGGTCAAAGCATGTGGAGCAAAAGCACCTTTACCTTTACTGGACAGTCCTACCAAGCTTGAAAAGAAAGGAAGATCACATCTAATGTCATAAGAGGTTCACGAATGAATAAAAAGGCAGGAGGAGTGTGTTAATTACAAACACTCTGTGTGTTTGGGTCACATTAGAAACACAATGACGTCACCATCAATATTTATTGGATGCCTATCATGTGCATGGCACTGTTAGGTGCTGGGGAACATAAAAAGATAAACTGACGGCCTGCCCTCAAAGGGCTTACAGTCTTGTATGGGAGCATGTATTTTGGGTATCATTAACCTCCTCTCTCTCTTCACCCCCTACCAAGAAACAAAACAAAAAAACCTTGTTTACTGGACTATTTCTTCCTTTTAGTTCAGCAGCTTCACAAAAGCAAAGCATAAATCTGAAAGTTTTAAAAATACACACTTTTACTCATGAACAAAATTTTTTATTAGAAAAATGCTGAATACTTATTGCAATTAAGAAAATTTTCAGACATATGTATTAGGAGTTTTCATGATTTTTTTTTTCTTGTGAATCTGTATTTTTGAAGTAAACAATTTCCCAAATTGCATCAAAAACATGCAACAACTTTTTGAAACATCTCAAAATCACTGGCAGTTTCATGTAAAGTACACAGGTTCTCTGCCACTATCAAGGAAAGGCTTTGAAATGGATGCATGTTTGCTTATAATCAAAGTTCACAGCTTATGTGTCCCCGCCATACATCCATTACATGTCAAAGTTTTATAAAACAATACCTCAATTAATTGATACCCCAAATCCAAAGTTTTAGAATCTTAAAAGTCCATTTCTTAGCACTATTAATTGGCTGGCCAGATTGACCAAAGAACTGCAAAATAATTCCCAGAAAACAAATGCAAAATAATACATTTTCCTACTATACTCTTAGGAATTCCTAAGGGTTTTTTTTTTTTTTTTCTTTTCCCTTTCAGCTTAAGGAAGCAAAATGTAATCAATTACAGGAATAAAGACTTAGCTTTTTTCCTAGGTAAAGTTATGATAGAAAAAGAGTATGACAGTGCTACATCTTAAAATTAATTCATTCCTAACTGCAATTATTTTAAGTGTCAATAATTCTTTTTCTCAGAATTACCTCTGGGCTCAGATTTGTACTAACTCTTAAGTTGTAAATCTGAAGTCCTGCAACTGTATGGAGACAATGAGTCTTTAAAACACTGGGACTAAAGATAAAGTTATCAAACTTAGATGGCTGATTTTTTTAAATGAACATTCATAGTAAACTTATAAAGCTGTGCACACCCAAAAATGAGTTCCTGAGACGCAGGTTCATTTTTCCCATGTTGGAGTATTCTTATCCTGAGTGGTTTTCTTTAGGTAAATATCCACATTGTACTATTTGGGCCTTCCTATTTCTCTTCCTCATAAAACCAAGTGCATTTTTCAGCTACTCCAGTTAAATTTAGGATTAATCCCTACAAGACTAATATCCACTCATTGTAAAGGTATAATGAACTATTAAAACAGAACCCAGGTCTGGCTTTACAACTACAGGCTTGTTGGGCCCACTTTCCTTAATCAGAACCTACCCTATTTTTCCAAGTTTTAACACCTGCATATTTTAAGTTTACATACCTAGCATTTGTTCAAAGAAAATGTAGTTAAATTTTCTAGAAAATGTAACAGAAAGGTACTCGTATCTCTATGAATTATGTGGCAAGTCTTTGAATCATTTTATCTTCACATTACTAAGATATTCTTCTGTTCAATCTCTTGGCCAAGCAAACACAACTTACTTACGTGGTGCAAAAAGATCACCACTTAACTAGTCAGACTGTGTACTTTTACAGATATAGAAACCGAGACCCTGAAGAGTTTAATGAAAAAGCTGAGTGCCAAACCCAGTCAAGCATTCATGAGACTATACCTTTAACCTTTCTGCTGGTTTGATGTCATATGAATATGCTTTTATTAGAACTGCACCACCACATACAATACTAAGATAAATGCAACTAAACAGTGATGTATTTCATATGAGGTAAATACAATAAATGTAAGTTAATGTAGACTTCTTAGAAGATATTAGCCCTTTTTTGGTTACTGTGGATAGTGTAACTATAGTTTTTGGTCCTGCTTTAAAGGGTCATTTGCAGTTTTTACCTTTGAGGATGTTTATTTGATCACTACAGAGAATCATGTTAAATATGTTATATATGTTAAATATATATATATGAATTTAATTTCTCAAATATTTTTACATGCATTTAGATTTTCTCATATTTTCAAGAAAAGTAAAATGAATTTATCATTACATAAGTTGGCACCTTGAAAATTAGTCACTTCTATACGGATCAGGAAACCTGGGAGTCATAAGGTGTTCAAGGTAACAAAAATTACAATGAAAACTGTAAGTGAAATTTGATTAATCTGTAAACTGAGGTGTAAGAGAAAGAAAAAGCTTAAGAGAATCAGAAGATGTGAGAGTTCAAGTTTTAACTTCATTCCTTGCTAGCTTTGGAGTAATTCAATAAACTTCTGGGTTTCGGTTTCTTCATCTGCAAATAGCTACCATTTGCACTACTTACCTCATCAGACTATTAGGATAACATACAACAAGATACATGAAAGTGCTTTGTAAATGGAAAAGCACATCACAAATATTGTAACTACTCCAAAAATGTGGACCTACAGAAATTGTGAATAATTGCCTGGGCATGCTCACTAGAACAAACTTAACTCAGAAGGTAAAACATGCAAACATCTTCGACTTTCAATGGCAATGCTAAAAAATTATACAAAGGGATACAAAGGAATGTTTTTAGAGAAAGCACTGAAAGACACATTTGGTTGACTTGAGACTTATAATGATTTGAATCATTTACAGCACATAAAGAGGTAATTAGTCTTTAAGTGGAAAAAGCTGCTATTCACCAAAGAAAAACAAACATTATGGGCATTCCTGACAAATCAAATAAAATCCTATCAGTTTTGGATTCTTTTTGTAAACAAGGCTTCTAACAAATAATCATATTAATTTTCCAGTAATCTAACATAGCGTAAAAGAGATAAAAGAGAAAGTCTATATCTAAGTCACATCCAATGTGAACTTGTATGACTGCAAAGCATAAAATTCTGAGTTCTTATGACTCTTATAGGCACCTGAAAGTTTCACAACCCTTCATGCTCATTTAATATTCTGTAAAGAATGAAAATACAAGAAATATTTCAAATAGATTTTTTTACAAATCTTTATTATGTGGTTGCCTTATTTCTGTAACACTCCACCCTGGTGACTTTTTGTTTTATTTCATTTTGTTTTGTTTGTAAAACTAAGTTTTAAGTTATTCTTCACCTTTCCCTTCAAATATGCCCTTTGATGCTAGTTCCTTCTTATACACTCTCCCACAAAGTAACAACCAAAAACAAATGAAGATGAAAGGGAAGAGATAAATGAGATATAATTCATTAAGTATAAAAATATGTTGTTTCAAATTCAGAATAATTTAATAACTCTTCGTTATTTCATATGTATCTGGAAATGGGACAGATATATGTCCTGATCCTGTCACAAGAGGTAGAATTCCAGCATTTGGTACAACGTTCCAAGACAGGGTCAGAGTGACATTCCTGTTTCCCCTATAAAAAGATATAATGAACAGAAGTCAATAGGAAAAACTGTGGTTTAATAAAGATACATTAAATCAAGTAAGGTGTCAAATACTTTAACTAGCCATTCCTAAGAGGAATTCTAATCTGAAAATATAACTTTTCTAGTATCATCTGAAATCCAAAGAAAATTCTGGAAGATACCAGCATTACATTTACAGGTACCTCTTAACCTAAATTCACAGCTGCAGTTAAAAATTATCAATCAAAAAGTTTATATAAGTAAAACAGAATGAATATAAAATGAAACTTGTGCTAGGAATCAGAAGACAATGATTTGAAGCCTAATTCTGTCAATATTTACATGTGAAACCAGAACAAATCAAAACCTATCATGTTCTGAAATTTTCATTTGCAAATACAGAGGTGAAATTAGGTCAAAATAACACTTCTAAGATCCTTTTTAATAAAATATAAAAAGCAAAAATGACCTAAGAGGTAATTCTGAATCCCTCAGTTTGTATAAGAATAAACACGAGTTTAAGTGTTTAGAAAAGATAAGAAAACCGGTACTAGAAACCCCAGGATCATGAGAGTGCACTGCCCTCTCATGAAGATTCCTGACTGATGTTCAGAAAGCAGACCTTTACAGGACACTCACACTATGTATAAGCAAGCCCATGCTCCTTGTACACTTAAATAACAGAAGCTGTAGATCTGTTTTTGACTACTACATTTTGCACACTGCAAATGCTTATCTTAGAGCCCCATTTATATTTCTTCCCAATCTTCCAGTTCAGATCTACATGAATACTTCTCTCCCAATTTTCCTTTTTGGTGGTACTTGGGATTTAATCCAGGGCCTTATACATACTAAGCAAACAGTATCACTAAGCTATCCCATTCCCCTGTAATATCTTTCTTTAAAATAAAAACATATCTTTCTCTCCTTTTCACATCTTATTAAACATAAAAGATGACAAAGAATTGCTCACTTGAGACCGTTTCCATCGTCAAAGAAAAAGTACTTCGTTTTCATATCTTTCAACAGCAACTTCGGATTATCACCTCTCAGAACAATCTTGTCCCAAAGGACAACTTGGTTTAGAGCCTACATTAAAATGAAAAATACATAACTTAGAAATAGCATCTTACTACTTCAAATTAAAAGTATTAGTAAGAAAATACTAATGAATATGAATATGTATGAATGGATCCAACTCTGATCAACTTGTTAAAAAAACACACAAAATGATAGCAAATATATATGTAATGGGGGGGGGGAGAAACTTTTTTTGCAGAAAAATACTTTCCTAAAGGAAATGATTCCTTCTGCTTAGCTTGATTATGTAAGGCTTTCATAGTTTACCATGAATTTTTAGATCTATATTGTCTTCAAAAATCAAGGCTCTTGGAGGAACAGAGGATTAGAATCCCTAAAAGGGAAGTACTTTTCCAAATCTCTTTTTCCTGTAAAATTTCTGACATTCTCTCTCTGAGTGGACCCTGGGTGGTGCTGGGAAAACAGAGTGAATTAACCCTGTTCCACATAGTTAATGTAGGCTTATGGCTGGCAGATTATGTTATGAAAGTTTATCAAGCTTTTAAGTTCAAAATTATCAAGGAATAACTAAAGCAACAAAGGCCTGAGTTCATTCCCTTTACATTAAAAAAAAAGTAAGTTCATCATGTTTTGTCAGGTAGTTCTTTAAAAGCACTAGTTTTTCAACACATTACAAACAAGTTCTATTTTAAAAATTAGGGGCATGAAATGAAAACACACTTATGACTAATACTAAATCTCAAGGAATTTGCTGTTAAATGAGCTTGTGAGGGGATTGCTTAGTGTGCAATGACTATATTAAGTAATGAGAAATGTGGAACAGTTATTTCTAAAGAGTTTAAGCTTATCTTTAAAGTCTCTTTCTAACTTTAAATAAAACATTAAGACTGAAGAACGCAAAATCAAAGATATGCTGATATTAAATGATGTTTTAAATGTATAAAATCTGTCAAATTCCAAATTAGTATTATTTTGCTAGTTATACTGGACTAAACCGTAATAATAATGTAACTTATCCTTGTCATAAGGTGAAACATCTAAATAAGTTTTTGAAACCTACAGACCAGTATATTTATATATTGTTGTTAGTCTTATCTTCAAGAACAGCCTTTTTTTGTTTGTTTAATGTTTTGTTGATGCTGAAGGATAGAGATCTAAATGTATTCATCCCAACTCCCAGTGCCTAACAAAATAATTGGCACAAAATGTATGTCGACAATAAATGTATAATTTATTTATTTAATTGACATATCTAACAAAACACCAGGTATCAAATATATGTTCAAAATAAATTTATAATTAAATGAAGTGGTAGCAATTCCAACTAACAGACAAAATAGATTAATGTGGTACTCTAGGAAAAAAAAATGCAGCTAAAAAAAAATGTAGACCCCACCTTTAGCTACAAATTAGCTCCAGGCTACACGGATGAAAAACAGAATCACTTAGCTTAAAGCATGTGACATTTTAATTTCATATATTTCACTTTCATATTTTAAGGCTGAACTTTGTGCCTCTATTATCAACAGTAAGTTAGAACCTAAGAAGAGTTAACAGTATTCTCTATCAATAGCCCAAGACCTACCGTTAACTACAGCAAAAGCTGTAAGTCAGACTAGACTCAGTCACAAACTAAATCATTTTAACATTTTACTGTAACAGCTTAATACCTTATTTTAAAATAATCTCAGGTGAATCAAAAAATTTTAAATATCTTTACAGCTTTTGATTACCTATCTTCATAATGATAGTTTTAATCACAGATCTCAAATTTTATTGACTCAATTATGTTGTCAAATAGCTTTCTAATTGTAACTGTGGAAAGAAAATAGTTTAACTTAAATAATATAAAGCTGAATTGTAATACTACCTCCTTATTTCAAACATAACTAACAACATTTCTCATTCTACCATGAGATGTGGTCTCAAGAGTTTTTGACACATTGTTTTGAGCACAAATTCCCAAAATGTGTATCTTTATTTATTTTATTTACTAGTTAATACCATCACTGACAATAATTTAAATTTTCATTTCAAATAGTCTTTTTAACTGATAATGAATTTTCTCAATCAATTTCTTATTAGATTATGAGATTATCTTTTTGTTTTTTAATCCTTTAACATGACTTAGTGGCAAGAAAGAACAAAGTGTCTTCTCTGCCATTTTCCTATTTCCATGTGCTTGGAATATTAACATTATCTTCACTCTAAGTTTTCTTGCAGCTATCTTTAAAAGCTAATTTTTCCCCCATTTTTGAGCAATTATTTAAAAGTACATGGTATAATACATTTATGTACTTCAATACTTTTCAAAACATTTAAAGTGAAAGGATGACTAAATGTTACATAGCATAGTCAACCCTGACCTACAGAATTCCTCCTCTTCTTCCAGAATATCTTCATGTTATAGATGGCATTTCATCATTTAACATAAAGGCTGAGCATAAGTGTTGATGCCAGTTCACACAGCAAGTATTAGTAAAGCTTAAACTCTTTCCCTTTTAAATTGAGAAACTATCAATAGAAGCTCTAAATTCTTTTCCTTATATATGGATCTATTACTATGCACGCACATCTTTCTGGACACCACAATGGTTGAGCTACAGGATACAGAAAAAAACAAGAGACAGACTAACAAAGGAGAAAAGTTTTCTTAATAGAGTCACCTCTCCATATGCCTTTTTTTTTTAGGTCAGATAGTTCGAATATAAAAAGTTTTCATTTTTTTGCCATAAGGAGTAAGAATTTAATTAACTATTATAATATGCTTAAATATATATACTTACATTATTTTTTGTTGAATATTCTGCTGATAAATAAAGAAACAACTGTTTAACATTCCAATCAAATATATTCTCTAGATGTAACAAATTAAGGAATCCATAAATTACAAAGCAGCACATAACTTTTAAACAGATCTCAGCTATTCTTAGAATAACTGTCCACAGCAATACTAATATTAAAATTCAGTGTCCAGGAACACAGTGAGCCACAAATTTAATAAAACTACTTAAGATAATATATCCTGCAAAGTCGTATCCATTTCAAAGCCAAACTAAACAAGGTTAGTATCCTCCCCTGCTCCTGCAAGCAGTATTAGGTGAGACGCTTTGATTAATAAATAATAAATAATAAATTCACAATTTAATTTTCTATAATACCAACCTGCTAAATCCAAAATAATAAGGAGTTAATATTTCAAACACATAGGATTCCACTGGAGCTCTCAAGTAGAGCCCATCATCACTACTGCTTAAAGTGAACAACATGCAGTCGTGAACTAGTCTCAAGTAATTAGTCAGGCACAATAAACTATACAAGTTGCTTTCAGTTATATGCCAGTACAGATCAAAGTGTCTCAATATATGGAGTATTTTGATAAGAGGCACTGAACACTTTTTGGCTCCATGCAGCTTGGGTGAGGGCAGACTCATAGAATTCGGTACAAGACGGGTGCCACTGCCAAGAAATAACCTGTGTGGATATGTGGATTTTATTAAATATTTCATTTACATTTTTGTCATTTTATCATGTGCATTTACACATAGATAGCAACATGTTTGTTATATCTCACTTTAATTACACGCAATCACTAAGAATCACTTGTTTAGAACTGAGAAATCTGCAACAGTTCTTTACAAGAACAGGAACAATTTCAAGTATCATCAGCTCCCTAAGAGAAGCTGAACAAACTGTAAATAATGAGACTGACACCTATAACTATGGAGGTTAAGATATCAAGATATTTCAATGTAATTCTGTAGACACACAAAATTCTCACGCTACACCTACTACTATTTCAAATGACATGATACTTAAAAGCACATGCACGAGGTTTAGCCTAAAACGTTCCTGATGACATCTATTTCCGGAAAAGGCACCTTTAGAAGTAATTCCTACTCTTCTAAATCCAGTAATTTATTCCTGAAAAATTAAAAAGAATCCCATGGTAACAGAGGAACAGCAGGTAAACTCCTTAGGCATATAATCTGCTTCAACTATTCAGATGGTTGCTTTATACAGGTTCACACCATTCACTCTCCACACCATTTTTAATCACAGAACTTAGAAAGGCAGGTGGAGAGAGGCATGGTGGCACTAGGATATGGTTCAAAGCCAGTTTTGGCAAAAGAGTTAAGAGAGACCCTATCAACACATTACGTACAGTGGTTCAAACCTGTAACCCCAGCTATGTGGAAGGCAGAGGTAAGGAGGATCACAGTGTGAAGCCAACCCAGGTACAAACACAAGACCCTATCTGAAAAAATAAACAAGGAAAGACAAAGAACATTACTGCCAAGTGTCAAGGCACCAACCCATGACCGATTAAACTGGCCAAACTGGTCAGAATTGTTCAAAGATGGAAGCTCAAGATAAAAATAATTTATATATCCCCTTAAGTGTCACTCTTTTCACTGTGAATAGTCCCTGACTCTTATGAACTATAATGTCAAAATACTAACATAGTTTAACAATAATCATTTTAATAATGGCCTTTCCAACCATTACAAATGCAATTCACTTTTTAAAACATATGTTTCTCTCTGCTATCATAAGAGGTGGATTCTTTGGACCGTACATGAAATATTTTTCCTTATTTAATCCTATTGATCTATTTTTTATTCTCCAGATTGATTTATGTAGATTTACATCAATTTAATGTTTCCATGAAGAATTTAAAGTATGTTCAAACTAACACATGAATGTAGTTTCCTCAAAGTGTGAAAGAATAAGTACTAATAATATTTTGCTGATTAAAATATAGATACAGAACTTGCCATGTTTGGTTGATTCAGTGGGCTAGTCATAGTCATATTTACTGTCTAAATATGCATTTCATTACAAAACTATAGAAAAAGCAATGTAATATTTTATTGAAGGATATCAGCAGTTATATCAAATGTAATGAATCCCAGATCACTTCTTTCTCTAGGTCCAGTGAAGTCTTCTACATTTTTTCTAGAAGTAAAGACAAAAGTTTTACCATTCTTCACACATAATACCACAAAAAAATTCACATGACTTAAAGTGAATGACAGAATCTACTTGTGTGCAGAGGTAAAATAGCAATTTTACAAAGATACATAAAAGTAAGAGAAGCCTTACATGTGGTAAACGTTCTAATTCAATATAAAAAGTCTTCGTTATTAACATATACCTTAAGAGAATCTCTAACAAAAAGCAGGTGACAATAAAAACACACACCAGAAAAAACAGTAAATACTTGATGTAAAGTAGACTCCATATGGGTACAGGACTGCTTGGAAAACTAAGAGGGTAACAGTTGCTCCTTATCGAGTGCTTACTATGTGTTAGATCTATGCATTTTTCACATTTCTCAAATTTTCCTCAAATCAATCCTATCATTTAGTTACTATTTTCATTTTAACAAAAGGCAATTAAGGCCCAGAAGAGTAAAATTTGCTCAAGATAACAGCAACATTTGTTCAGTGCTTAATATGCCCCCAGCTCTTCCAGGTCCAAGCAGAGCTCATGGTGGCAGTGCTGATTTCCATCCCAGGTCTACTCGAATTACGAACTGTATCTAACAAAAATCAGTATTGGACCAAAAAAAAAAAAAAGGGGGGGGTTGGGGGATAGCTATTAAATGACTGGCGTGTTAGTGATTCTGACAAAGAGATTAAGTAAACTAAGGTAGAAGAGACACATCATCTCGTTGAAAGACGGAATAAATAAGCATGACAATAAAAAAAAGGTATCAAAGCCAAAAGTGATACAGAATAAGAGAAAACTATCACGGGAAAAAGAAGACAACGGTGAAGTGACAGTGTCATGTTGCAAGGCTATTTGCGGCACATCTACTCAGCCGCTTGACTATAAAGAAAAAACAGAAACAAGGCAGGAAGCGTTGTATCCGAAGGCCGAGGTGCAGGGCACCGTCCAGGGTCGTCCTGACCATGTCCACCTTGCTTCACGGCCGCTGCGTCCTCAAGGCTGGAGCACGGTACCGGGAATGTCAAACAGGACAAACTCGGGTTACAAGCGACACACAACGCCACGAACTTGCCGCCGCCCAGCTCGGCGGTGCTGCCGCCGGCGCCCGGGGGCCCCGCGAAGGCGGCTCGGCGTCGGGCGGGCGTCGGGCCCCGGGACCCGCGGCCCCGGGCGCGCCGGGCGGGCGGGCGGCGGCGCGGTTCGCTGTTGTGTTGCTCGCTCATTGGCCAGGGTGGGTGCGGGAAGTGAGGAACAGGAAGGAAGCGGAGACACCGACCTGGGCAGCACTCAGAATTAAAATTTAAGAGCAAGCCCGGGAATTCTCGATGGGGGGACGTCGGGAAAGCCCGCGACGCTCACCCCGGTCGTCGGCCCTAGGATGACGGCCGCTCCGGACGGGGACTCCCCGGGGGGACAGCGCGAACGCCCTGCCGACCACCTCCGCCCCACTTCGGTCCCCCATCCCGGGTTTGTCCAGGTGCCCGGTCCCATTGGCCGGGCCTCGGCCGCACTTACAGCATGATCCGCGAGACGTGCAGCCGCACCGGGACGCTCCGGTCTTTGAAGGCGGTGGTGATGAAGCAGCCGAAGGTGAGCGCCGCCATCACGCTCAGCGAGAATGCGAACAAGGAGTTCGCCCGTGACAACACCGTATTCATCGCGACAGTCTCTCACGAGCCCTGTCTCCACACAGGCACTCGGGCTCCCGTTCCGGCGGCGGACCGCTTCCTTGAGATCCGCGCCGTCTGCGGTGCGCACGTTCCGGGAGCGCGCGCCGCCGCGGGTCCGCCTCCTTTCCGGTCCTCCGACGCGAGCGCGCACGCACCCACCCAGCGGGACACACCCACCGCGCCGGAGGGAGCGCGCCAAAAGGAGCCTTGAGCCCGCCCCTTTGTCCTCCGCCAATCAGCGACGAGCGTGGAGGGGCGGGGTGTCTCCACCGGAGACCCGCCTCCTCCAGTGCTCGCTCCCTGCCACGCCCCACCCTGGTAGGGTTCAGACCCGGCATCCCCGCTTGCCGGTTCTCTTTTGTCGGTTCTTCGGCGAGGTGGTTTGGGGCCGCTGCTTATGATTGCTCTGTGCCATTCACTTTCAGTTAAAAACAGCAGCGAGGAGAGGCGGTTTGGAATCTGTTCTGATGTGTGATGTTGGGAGGCAGCGCTTTACGAAATCCCTGAGCCTCTAGCCCCTTTATCAAATTTAGGTCACATTTAGGACGTCAATTTAGGGAACCTGGGGACAGGAAGGAAGTAAGGACGTCAAGGTTCCTATAAAGCAGTCAGGCGCACCACCATTCTGATTCTCGTTTAATGCTTTGCTTTCTAGACAGAGCTAAGGCTGTTTTAGAAGATAAGGATTGATGCCACGAATTGTAAATATTTGCATTTTAACGTGAACACTTTGGATAACTGAAAGGGTCACCACCCTAGTGTGTGGAATTGCTGTACAGCACAAAATGTGCAACGTTAACAAGCAATTAATAAGTAATGGAATTAGCTTATCACATTCCTAGTACCCTTAAGAGCGTTCGGGTTCAGATTGTGCCAGTTCCTGACTTTGATTATACTGTCTGCCAACACCTTTGTTCCTTTCACAGCTAGGGATTTCTGTATAAAAAGTGGAATTCAGAGGTCTGGTAATCTGCTGAAATTTTTAAATTTTGTGTCCATAAGCCAAAATAGGTAAAGAACACCTATTATAGAATAGGAAAGGCGTAAACCAGAAACTCACAATCTGCCCCGATGCTGGCCTGTGCTATTGTTGAACCTTTGCTTCTTTGCATCACTCAGTGAATTTTCATACAGCCATAACTGGTAGAATTACTACTGATTGCCTAGCTCATGCCAGGAATAGTAATAGACCTTGAGAATATCGCATTAATAAGGCAAAGACCCTGCTCAAATGGAATAGCGCCACAAAAGGAAAAGTGGATTAAGTATACAAAGTATAGATGAGGAGGAGGGCCTTAGGTGAGTTTAAAACTAAATTTTTATCTTCCAGGCAGCTAATACTCAATAAAGCAAGTGTCTGCTGAATGCCTACAGTGCTGAGGTTGATACAGAGATATGTATCAATCACTTTCTTTTCATGAAACTTACAATCAAGAAAAGCTAGTAAAAACAAATCTGAAATGTAGAACAGGCAAAATGCAGAGGGTAGTTACAGAGTGTTACAAACTTCAAAGAAGGAAGAAACCACATCTGGTGATGTGAGACAAAGTAGTATATGCAGAATATTTAACACAGTGTCTAAACATTAATACACATTATTATTCTTATTATGGGGTAATGGAGAGAAAGAATGCTTGTTTTTATAAATGGCAATGTCCAGGATGAATAGTCCCAAACCTGCTGAGCTGCAGGTACAGATTTATCCCAGAAATACCTAGTTGTCTGGTCCAGCTAAACAATATGTAGAGACAGGATTAGGCAGAAGTAAACCTGGAAAAGTAAACTAAAGGCCTATTGTAGAAAATGCAGTAATGAAGTTAGGGTTTTATATCAAGGAAATTACATATTAAACAAGAGTGGCATCACTGCACAGGCAGTTCTTCTGAGCAGAGAGAACAACAGGATGACGGTAGAGGGGCAGAGCAAAGGAAGAATGGTGGGAGGGACATTTCAGGGATAAAATCTGAAAGACTTAGCAACTGCTTAGATAAAAGTACAGCCTGTAAAATACTAAAGTAGGTTATGAAGACACAAGTGATATTGTTATGACATCATAGTTTTTACTTGACTAACTGGAAGTACTAGAAATACATGCAAGTCCACAAAAGAAGCCAGATAGGGGTGGAATAAGGAATTCTTTTTTTCTTTTGTGTTTCTAATTGTTTCTTTGGATTTTATAGATATTTAATCACACCATCTGTATTAGATATCATGTTGCTCTTCTCTTTCATATTATTATATTTCTAATTGTTTTATCCATTTCAGTGGTTAATGTTTACAACATACTGCTTCATAAGAAGCCAGATAGGGGTGGAATAAGGAATTCTTTTTTTCTTTTGTGTTTCTAATTGTTTCTTTGGATTTTATAGATATTTAATCACACCATCTGTATTAGATATCATGTTGCTCTTCTCTTTCATCTTTTTTTCTTTGTGTTTCTAATTGTTTCTTTGGATTTTATAGATATTAATCAACCCCTGTATTAGATATCATGTTGCTCTTCTCTTTCATATTATTATATTTCTAATTGTTTTATCCATTTCAGTGGTTAATGTTTACAACATACTGCTTCATAATAATGGAGACAGCTGGTGTTTCTGTCTTGTTCCTGGTTTGAATAGAGGAGCTCAATTCATTTTCTAGTATTTAAATGCCAGTTTTGAGATGGTTTTTTAATGTGTGTATACACATATAGCATATTATGATATATAGTATATTGATATTAAGGAACTCTCCATTAATTCCTATTTCACTGGGGGGGGCTAAAAACATGAACAAGTTATTAAATAACAATAATAATTGTTATTTTCACAATTTCTCTAATGCATTTCCTGCATTAGAGGCATCGAAATGCATTTTAGAGGCAATCGTATATTTTTTCCTCCTCTACTAATATGATGTGTTATAAAAACATTTCATATATTGAGCCATTGAGCATTCCACCAATAATAACACTCAGGATAAATTAGGTCTTAATATGCTTAAGGGCTTTCTTTTCTATTTTTTATAGTTTCTGATATCAATATCCATTGTGAAATTAATATGTTTTTCCCTTTTGATTATAGTGTACTCAAATTAGAAAAAGAATTTTTAAATTTTCCTTATTTTTCTATGCACTAAATGTAGCATTTGAATTATCTGATCTTTTAAAACAATTGTTTTGGCAGTACTGGGGTTGGAACTCAGTGGGTCACACTTTCTAGGCAGGTGCTTTACTGCTTGCGTCACTCCATCAGCACTTTTTTGTGTTGAGAATTTTCAAGATAGGGTCTCACAAACTATTTGCTGGGACTGGCTTTGATTCACGATCTTCCTGATCTCTGCCTCCTGAGTAGCTAGGATGAACTTTAAAATTTTGGTAGAAATTTCTATGAGATGTTCTTCTATTTTGATGACTATTAATTATAATTCTAATTATATATATTTGTGCTTTAGACCTTTTTCATGTATTATTTTAGTTAGAATGTTAAAATAAGTTTCTAAGAACTAGCATTTGCATTTACTAATTAACTGTACTGTTCTTTATTTTTCTACTTAATTAGTTTTTGTATTAATATTATCGATTTTTTTTATTCTACTTTGTGTTCATTAGCTTTAGTAATTAACTAATATATTTTTCATTCAAATGATGAGAATATATTACTAAAACTGAAATTTTTAAGCACAAATTCTACTTTGATGGTTTCATTATGGCTGATATTGTGGGAGTCATTCATAAGGGTATGATATTCTAGGAGTATGTGGGGAAGAAAAGAACTTGTAGCCTGGCATGAGATCTGTTAATAGATGCCAAGAAAATTATCTTGCCATATGCACAGATTTGACCATGCAAGCAGGCGAGAGCCAGTGCCCAAGAGCCATGCAGTAACAGTTGTGACTCAGGCATCAGTTGGCACATAAGTTCCAAGTTATACATGAACCCCGTGGATATTTTTCTGCATCTGTGTTGCCTACTTTTATATTACATTTTTTACTTAGGTTATTAAAATTAGCAGTAAATTTTGTGACAATTTCCTAGAAGAGATTCCAAGTAATATTTAACATGGTGATCCCTGGAGAAAGCAGTGAATTTCTTTTTTATTTTCTCAAGAAAGAATAAAGAATTACCCTTTAGTCACTCCACAAACTATATTTTTTTCATTTTCATTGAGCCTTTGGATATAAATGTGGATACAGAGGGGGCATACATGATGCCTAGACTTCCCTCTAGTTTGACAGCTTAGAGTGAACTTAAAATTTTCCTACCATATTTTATCCATATTTTTAGAATCCATATTTTTGAGGAAAGATTTTTGTTTTGAGACAGTCTTGCTGTGTATATATAGCTCATGCTGACCTAGAGCTTTCAGAATGCTGAGACAGTCTCCTGCCTCAGCCTCCCAAATGCTAGGATTACAGGCAGGCTCTACCACACCCAGCTATTTCTTAGGTGTGCCACAGATTTTAAATTACTTAATGGCTTGGGAAGAAAGTTGCTAGAATAAAACATGGAGATGCAGGTCATCTGAGAATATACCTTGACCATTTATTTATATTACTTCATACAGAAGTAATTCTTGGTATATTTTTGAAGTTGTAAGTTACATGCACTAATTGGGGTTAATTTTTTGATTGTAGGAGAAAAATTTAGTGTTAAGAAGCTTAAAGTAGCCAGGCGCCAGTGGCTCACATCTGTAATCCTATCTACTCAGGAGGCAGAGATCAGGAGAATTTCGATTCGAAGCCAGCCCCGACAAATAGTTACAGGAGACCCTATCTCGAAAAACCCTTCACAAAAATAGGGTTGGTGGAGTGGTTCAAGGTGAAGGCCCTGAGTTCCAGACCCAGTACTGCAAAAAAAAGAAACTTAAAATAGAGGCAACTTTCTGACATCAGAGAACTGAATGATAATTATATAGTGTGCCCATGTAAGCTATGAGGTATAAGTATGTAGTCAGGGCAAGACACCCAATGTACTAAACTGTGACCTAACTGAATTTGTAAGTAAAACCTTGGAAGACTCTCAGTCCTGTATAAGGTGGAGATGATTAGGACAGGATGGGAAAATTATACTTGGTGGAAATAAATTAGCTACTCAGTAGAGAAGCTCAGAGAAGCAAAGCTACCGTAGCTTTAGCTGGGCTCCTACCTCCCAATTAGGAATC